TATATATATATATATATTTTAAAAAAATTTCAAAAAATGTAAGAAAATGTCCAAAAATTGCACAAAACTAAAAGAAATTAAGAATTACTTCAAATTTTCTTCGTATATATTTAATTATTTTCGCTTGTCATGACATTTTTAACAATTTCTAATTTTTTTTAGAAATTTTAAAAAAAATTAAATTTTTTAAAAAATTTCGAAAAATCAAATAATGTAGGAAAATGTCAAAAAATTGCACAAAACTAAGAAAATTTAAAAATTACGACTTCAAATTTTTTAAAAAAAAATTTGGAAAATATTTCGTTTAATGCATTTTTATGACATTTACGACGTTTTTCAAAATTTTTAAAATGTTTCTAATCTTGAAAGTGGTCCAACCCGACACCCTATCATGCAGAAAACTGCATTACTGTAAGACAGGTAGACCTAAAAGTTTTCAGGAATAACACAAAGTAGACAACAGCTGTAACTAGAGACAATTACTGTCGTGAATTCTGACAGTGTCATGCTGCGGACTGTATTACAATGGCATGGAATATGCCGATAACAGTTTTCTGTTATCAGCCTTTCACCCTGAAGTAGAGACTGTTCATTTCAGTGAAATGTTAGCAAGCCAGCTCAACGGGCTACTCAAGAATGATAATGCAAATTCACCTTCCCCTCAATCTTGTAGATGATTTAATTATGAGGTTGGGACAAAATATAATCATGAATGAACAGCAAACCTGAATAATTTATTGCAATCTTGTCACCACAGTTACACAATCATCTCCAGTTCCCTTGCATATTCAATTGCTTGTTCAGCAAGTTCACTGGAAGGCAAAGTATCATCCCGTTTCTTCTCCTCAGTACCAAAATAATAGTAATTATCTCTTCCAAGACTCCAGTTTTTCTGAAAACAACAATAATGATATGGACCACTTCCGTCACACATCTGAAATTCCAAACTTAGAAATATTAACCTCTTTCAAGATGCGTATCAATCCCTGTCTTAATTTCACTCGATTTTTAAATGATCTCAATTGAGATTATATAATCATCATGTCACACTTTTCCCTCATATAATTATGACAGACTGCAATAAAATCCTTTTAATATTATACTAACCAACATCTATGCTTATACTATGAAGTGCACTAAATAGGATGAGTCAAAAGTGTGTTTACAAACTTCTGTGCGTGTTCCAGGATAAAAAAATAAGAAATAATGTTCCTATGAAATGTTTCACTTTCGAAATAATAGCCAAACATAAGTTTCAATAAATGAATTTATATCAAACTGAATCCAGCTTCCAGCGAAGATTTTCAATTAACGTTTGGGCAGGAATTGTTGGCGACATGCTTATTGGTCCACACATGCTTCCATCGCGTCTAAGAGGACCTTCATATCGGCGATTCTTAAGAAGACACTTGCCACGTCTCCTTGAAGATGTGCCATTGAATACAAGAAGACAAATGTGGTTTATGCACGACAGAGCCCCAGCACACTTCTCCCGTCGCGTCAGACATCATCTCAATGAACAGTACCCTCAGCGATGGATTGGACACGGTGGCCCAGTAGCATGACCACCGAGGTCACCGGACCTGATTCCTTTGGACTTTTATCTGTGGGCTCACTAGAAGTCCATCATTTGTGCAACACCCATAAACTATGAAGACGACCTATGGGAACGTGCGCAGAATGCATGCCAAATGATTTGAGGAAAGCCTGACGTGTACGGACAAATACGTCAGTCTTGTGTGCGTCGTGTGGAGATTGGAGGACCAAGCTTTGAGCATCTGTTATAAATAAACATCCTTATACTTGGCTATAAAGGCATACATTGGAAATTATTTTTGGCTATTATTTTGAAAAAGGTGCATTTGCAACCACATGTTCATAAGAAATTTTTGTTTACTTGTGATCCAGGAACACGCACGCAAAGTTTGTAAACATACTTTTGACTCACCGTGTTTATCTGATTTATTCTACTTACATGTCTCTCACTAAAACAGAACAGCAAATCATCCTTCCACATGAGTATATCGAATATAAATTGTATTGTACACTTTAAAATAAATATGACCAATTATTTGTTAAATGTGGAAAATTCAATTGTACACAGTCTGCAAAACACACTGTAGTAGCATATGAAAAATATCACTAATCTTTAAAAAGCTAAAGAGAGTTTAGCGTTTGTGTATGTATTTGAAAAACCAACTTAAGCATATGTTACAGTGCAAACAACAACCTGAATTTAACCCAGTCTCAGAATCACTTAACATGTTCCGTGATACTGTTTATAATACTGCATTTGGACAGCCCTATGGAATCAAAGTGACGAAGAAGAGAAAATCTGTAACATAACGACACTATTTTATTTATTTGGTGTTCTGTCTGACGACAGGTCCATATGAACAGGATCCTTCCATCCTTTTCTCGGACTGGGACCTGTTCATATACGTTCTTGGCAGATGATCCAGAAGTGGTTTGCCATTGCCTTCTTCTGTGTGTGAATGGAGTAATTGTTGGGATGCCACGGAGGAAATCTCCGTGTTGCCTAGACCACGGCCTTGCCCAACACAAGTTATAAATTCGGGCACCGCCGGGAATCGAACCCGCGACCCCAGGATTACAAGGCCAGCGTTCTAACCGCTAGACAGTGGCGTGAGCACATGAGTAATTGACCAAACTCTCCACTGATATTTCATTTTGAAGTTGAACTTTCCATTAACAGTTTCATTCAAAGCTTGGCTTTCCAGTTTTACTTCATGTAAGAGCTAGAGTTTTTGCAGCAATTAAATTCAATTAAGTCTTTTTTGAGCAATCAGCCATGACCACCTGATGTGGCCGACTTCGCCAAATTGTACTTCGTTACACAGGTTGTTCATAAGTAAACATCATCACAGTATATTTATGACTTCTGTTTATTTACTTTGAATTTCCATGCCCGCATTCCCATTAAGTAAAGATTCCAATATGTGTGCTCATTTTGAAGAAAAACATAATTAACGTCAATGATATTTCTGAGATGCCATGTTTGGAGGATCCCTATCACAATGGCATGGCATGTCCTCAGGTTGCGGATGGAGAAACAGCCTCCAGTTAAGGAGGTTCCGTGGCGTAACAGCCCTCTGAGAGCCTAAGCCGACTAGCTGGCTGCTGGCCTCACGTTCACGATCATCCAACCAGATACAGGATGACGTGTGGTCAGCACGACGAACCCCCAAACATTGCTAGCTTTCCTGACCGGATTACGCTACTCATTGTAGCCCCCAATTTCCTAACGATGCTGGGATGGCACCGGTCCCATACACCGGTCGAAAATCTCATGAGAAATTTCTTTCCCCGAGACTCGAACCAGAGCGCATTCCGTGTCACCGGTCCGAAGCATGATGCCTCAGACTGTGCGGCTATGGCGCGGGACAGTTATGGAGGTTAGCTGCAAATATATTGAATAAGCAGTTGCAGACAGCCAATGAGGAGTGGTCCTCCAGCTTGGGGGTTGAGCATGAGGCTAACAACCTTTCACCGTAAAAACCTGTATTGTTACAAAAAAGTTAGCAAAGCCTCAGAACCGGACGGCCTCTTTGGCACAGAGAATTATAAGTTAGATTTAGTCCAGGTTATAACCGGTCACTATGTCGACTGCAACAACCTGGCTCATTAAATGGAAAATTAAATCTTATTACTGTAAGCATCATAAATGAGAGTGCACCCTAGCTTCAGCGTACCTTGGTACCATACTCCTTAATCGCAGTTGAGTTTGGGAGGTTCAACATCCTAGCAGCCCCATTCAGAGAGATTTTCTCAAATTATTTTTTATTTTTAGTGTTCTGTCTGACGACAGGTCCAGGATCCTTCCATCCTTTTCTCGGGCTGGGACCTGTTCATATACGTTCTTGGCAGATGATCCAGAAGTGGTTTGCCATTGCCTTCTTCTGTGTGTGAATGGAGTAATTGTTGGGATGCCACGGAGGAAATCTCCGTGTTGCCTAGACCACGGCCTTGCCCAACACAAGTTATAAATTCGGGCACCGCCGGGAATCGAACCCGCGACCCCAGGATTACAAGGCCAGCGTTCTAACCGCTAGACAGTGGCGTGAGCACATGAGTAATTGACCAAACTCTCCACTGATATTTCATTTTGAAGTTGAACTTTCCATTAACAGTTTCATTCAAAGCTTGGCTTTCCAGTTTTACTTCATGTAAGAGCTAGAGTTTTTGCAGCAATTAAATTCAATTAAGTCTTTTTTGAGCAATCAGCCATGACCACCTGATGTGGCCGACTTCGCCAAATTGTACTTCGTTACACAGGTTGTTCATAAGTAAACATCATCACAGTATATTTATGACTTCTGTTTATTTACTTTGAATTTCCATGCCCGCATTCCCATTAAGTAAAGATTCCAATATGTGTGCTCATTTTGAAGAAAAACATAATTAACGTCAATGATATTTCTGAGATGCCATGTTTGGAGGATCCCTATCACAATGGCATGGCATGTCCTCAGGTTGCGGATGGAGAAACAGCCTCCAGTTAAGGAGGTTCCGTGGCGTAACAGCCCTCTGAGAGCCTAAGCCGACTAGCTGGCTGCTGGCCTCACGTTCACGATCATCCAACCAGATACAGGATGACGTGTGGTCAGCACGACGAACCCCCAAACATTGCTAGCTTTCCTGACCGGATTACGCTACTCATTGTAGCCCCCAATTTCCTAACGATGCTGGGATGGCACCGGTCCCATACACCGGTCGAAAATCTCATGAGAAATTTCTTTCCCCGAGACTCGAACCAGAGCGCATTCCGTGTCACCGGTCCGAAGCATGATGCCTCAGACTGTGCGGCTATGGCGCGGGACAGTTATGGAGGTTAGCTGCAAATATATTGAATAAGCAGTTGCAGACAGCCAATGAGGAGTGGTCCTCCAGCTTGGGGGTTGAGCATGAGGCTAACAACCTTTCACCGTAAAAACCTGTATTGTTACAAAAAAGTTAGCAAAGCCTCAGAACCGGACGGCCTCTTTGGCACAGAGAATTATAAGTTAGATTTAGTCCAGGTTATAACCGGTCACTATGTCGACTGCAACAACCTGGCTCATTAAATGGAAAATTAAATCTTATTACTGTAAGCATCATAAATGAGAGTGCACCCTAGCTTCAGCGTACCTTGGTACCATACTCCTTAATCGCAGTTGAGTTTGGGAGGTTCAACATCCTAGCAGCCCCATTCAGAGAGATTTTCTCAAATGCCTTCTCCAGGCACGCAGCAATCTCATCACGTATCGTATCTAGAAGGATGTCGATGAAGAAGTTGTAGCTCTCGGCAGGAACATTACGTTTGGCTAGGAAGATCTACACAAAACAAACATTATCATCACTAGCAGCAGAATCATGTTGCGATCACAAAACGCAAACTTCCTTCGACTTGCCGTTTCCAATTTCTTTTAAGTCATCAACAAAATTTGAAGTTACCTTATTGTAACTGCCCTCCATGACGTACTGCTCCAATGACAGTGGATGACGAATGTACACGTTGCTCTGTATTTGACCAGCGGGAAGCAGCTCCAGTTCAGTGTGAAATTCGGCCACTCGATTTTGAGACAGAAGGAACAACAAATTGAGGCCCAAAAGTTGATACTTGTACGCAGATTCTGGCAACTGATTCCTGCAATACAAAACAATAAACCACATCTGTAAGCGTAAAACATGCTCTCCCTATCTCCACCAGCTGAACAGCAGCACAGGAGGCGACCTTCATATTTTTAAATGCATGTTCAGAGCAAACCCAAGTATTTATGCATGACTTATGTCATATGCCCATGATTTACAAAACATGATTCTAATGCTTTTGAAATTATGTAAGACGTGAAGAAAAAGACTGGAAACTTGTAATCCATACCATAATACACACAAGCATGCTTCATCATTAATAACAGATTCACCCAGTTATCTCACAAATTATGTGGTCTTAATATCTTCTTTAAGTACAGAGTGTACATAAATTATCAGTGCAACTTTACTTGCGATTAAAACCTTTCTGAAAAGACACAAACACAGCATCATCTGTGAAAAAATACTCTTAAATTTTACTGACTTCCCATGATATGGTAGCACACTTTCCCCTCCCCTACTGCACTGCATCTGCCTTTGCAAATCAAGTCAGTCACCTTGAACTCGCAGAAGGCACAGTACGTGGAGTGGTTTATCGAAGCAAATTCAGACATTTCAGAACAATGAATCACAAGACCATTGACAAGTGCCTAGAACAAACAATTTAAGGAGACTGGAAGTGGTTTGCACAACAACGTTACACAGCATCCATGCGACCGATGAAAATTTCAAAGAGAATATGCAGGAACTTTGTCCATGGTCCATAAATCGACACGAGCTGCAGCATTCAACAGTGCATCAGATGTTAAGAAAATTCTTGTGTGTCTGTGTGCTTACAAGCCGCAAGTGGTGCAGGCAATTACGCCAGACAATGCGCTGACCATGCTTGAGAAAATGGATGAAGACAATGAATTCCTGAGGAGAGGAACATCATGTTCTCTGACATTCCACGTTTCACGGAAGGTAAACAAAGAGAATGCATGTGGGAATCGGAAGACGTAACATACAGGACTCACGTGCATAGGACTAGAGGACTGAATTATGGCATAGTTAAACAATTTTTTCCTTTCATGCGCCCACCATGTTGTTATTTTATATTTAAAAAAATTGCCACACCAAATTTTTTATTTATTTTTTAATCAATAACTGTTCATCATTGTATGGCCCCATTGCAAGTGGCACTAGTGTCAATCCCACCTCACAAGTTTCTTCATAACAGATTCAGAGAGTACTTGTAACATCAGTACCAAAACATACAATTCCTACTAAAACGTTTTTATGTGTTTACAGTACGAAATTCTCCCAACTGAAGAGACTAGCCATTAATGCGATGCGCGAACTTGCGTGCTTCTCACAGGTTGTGCAATACGAAAAAGTGCTTTGATGATAGTGGGGCACAATCGAGCGTCAACATCCAGTCAGTCTGCCTCTCTGTGTAATTTTTAAACAGAAATTAAAAATCCGTGTTCTGACAAGGAAACAGTCTACTTGGCCAGGATGAAACCTCACCTGAGAAATTTTGCTTATTTACAGCAATTAATACATGTAGACATTTCAACTGTTGCTATGCTGTGCAGAGGTGCAAAAAACTGCTCAAAGCTGGAATGTACAGTTCAAATTTGCACCAACATATTTTTGTAATGGACTATACAAGAACTACAGATTGTAGGTGAGCATGGCATGGAGCCACCGGTGGCTAAACACAACCACTAGTGGTCCCCACTTTATGCAGACATTTTGGTTGAGGTTGATAACTTTGCATTGGTTTGTAAGTCTTGTATTTTCTAAAAAGTTCGATAATGTCTGCCTTGATGACTAATTTGAAGTCATCATGAATGCTTTTTAAATCAGGCACGAGAGATACCAAAAAGTTCCGATCTAGATCATCATTATCATCATCTTGACGTTTTTTGTTTGTTATATTGTCTGAAATTCTTTGTATCAATTCATTTTCTGCCTTTTCGGTGTTCGAGACATTTTTTTTATGTTTTTTTGGGGGGGATTATTTCTTCTGACGCATCTCCTTCTCTATCAGTATCTGGTTGTCGATCAGGATTGGCGTGGCGAACGCAAGTGGTTGCGTTTGGGCGGGATAAACGGTGGTCAAATATAGCCACAAGCAGCAAGACACGGCCACTACCGTAGCGTGTGGCCCAGACGGGCCACTACGAACGTTGTGTCTGCGCTGAGTCTATTAAAACTGCATACAAAATACAGACCACAGCTTGTGGCAGCGGCTAGTGGCTCCGTTTGCTCCCCGCCTAACTCTGATCGATTTTTTCACACCATTGCACAGCAAACTGCCACTTGAATTTTTGAGTACAATCATTTCTAGACAGGTTCTGTAAATGAGAAAAATTTCACCTGACCAACCAGACCATTTCCTTCCTAGGTATGGGGACTGCAGTCATTTTAATTTTACCTCATTACATTATCTTTGGAGGAGTAACAGGTTAAGACCCCAGAAAAACTGATCTGTAGGAACTTTAATGACATGAAATCTTCCAAAATGTATAATGCTTCTCTCTGATCCAGCAGAAATACCTACAGTTCACTTTCTGTAGTACACGGTAAAAATGTACCGACTTCGATATAAAATATTAAGAAAATAATATTTTAACACTTTCGCTACCGTGTGAGCTGCCGGCAGCCTCGCACTTGGGGATATTTAATGACGCGTTGAGCCACGTGGTGTGGGAATAATGCTTTGTAACTTTGGCTCCGGTACCTTAAGAATACAGACTGTCTACAAATCAACCGATTTCTGCAATAAACATTAGACGTATACTTAAATATAGGTTATAAGTCTAAAAAGTAGGCAGATGATTCACGTGGTGGTGATGAAATGTCTTATGGTACCATTTACCATTTTAACAGGTTCACCATTATTAATATATATTGAGCTTTCATGAAGGAGTCGGAGGTTTTGTGTACTGACTCCACAGCCCTGCCTGTAGGATGTAAAACCACAAGAAATATGTCTAGGTACCCCATGTATTCTATACTTGTTTGAAAGTACAAGGAAGCACGCCTCATTTTAATTTTACCTGTAATCAAGGTAATAGCACTTCAGCTGGGCCATGTATCGTTCAAATGAAGGAATATCTCTCACAGCTATGCTGAACTGTGCTCCTATTTCCAAAATATCTCCTGCAGAAAATAAAAATGTTGTTAGTATAACATACAGCCCTCAAGCAAGCAGTGAATCCCTATTAGTCTATCAGTTATGACAAGACTGTCAATATGAAAGCCTTACAAAACTACAAATGTGCACACTTAATTTCTGTTCCTGGCATCTTCAGTCAGTAAAAATTTTTAAATTAAATTCAACTGAACCATTCCACACAAAGAACTCACAGAATCCTTCATTTAAAAAAACAACAGCAGAAAGTCAGCCAGAATCTGTTTAAAAGGTGCGGTGTGCATATCCAAGGTAAAGGGGAACACCCAGCATCTCCAGTATACAGATAAATAATCTTTACTCTATAATATTGTTGCAATCTATAGTCACAGTAAACCAACTAATAAGGGCAGATCTTAAATTCTCATGGCAGTGAAGACATCAGTATTGTTCTTCTGAGTTGTAATGCCATATAGCATGGTAGATGTCCACCAACATTTCAGAGGTCATACTGCCTCCATCATCATCGATGAATAAGCTCAATTGGATCAATCATTGCGCTGATGAAGAAGGCAGTATGACCTCTGAAACGTTGGTGGACATCTACCATACCACATGGCGTAACAACCCAGAAGACAGCAAACTTCATCAAAATACTGAATACTTCAAACAGTATACCAATACAATATTATAACTCCCTACATATTACAGCAATTTACATAAACACACAGTATTTAATAATAAAAAATAAATTCTTCTGCAGAGTAGGAGTAAGATAAAAAAAATATGTCAATGCTGACTTTAGAAATTCTACAGAATACAGAATCTGGAATTGTTACCCTTTCTAAGACAATTTGGGAATGTATTTTAAATAAACAGAGTAAAAATTTGAACAAAACCTACGCACGAACAGGAAAGGTTACCCTTGAAGCACATTGTTACTGTAACGAAAGAAAATTAAACGCTTCCAAAAGTCATCTCATTACACCAATTCAACCACAATTAAGCTATCAATACAAATACTACATTAACGTTCCTTACTTGCTATCAGCAACTCTTGCTGTGGTGCTGTTGCATTTGAAGTTGGCAAAAACATCAAATTTGTGAGGCCCACCTGCAAATTTCGATTTTTGTTAACATATGATGGTAATATTTCTTGAACCTTGAAAGCACACGTACTGAACACGTTTAAGAATATAACGTCAATTACATAACTAACCTTCAATTTTTTCAGAAGGTCGCCACATTTCTCCAAATTCGGTGGTTTCTTTGTCCAATCCGACTTCAAAAGTTGATACAATGACACAACGTCTTTCAAAGCAGACATGATGGTAACCAAAGATTTCACGAGCACAGAAGAACAACACTGACAACACCCAGGCCAGCCAACAAACCGACCAACCCAGGCGAGAACAACATTATAATAAATATAACAATGTTAGTTTCACCTCTCTCCGGTAGATGCCTGGCTTACATATAATCGGTACATATTAAATTTTCTAACCAGTTTGTGTTCATAGTATTTATAGTAATCGATAATAGAATTCCTATGGATATCCGTGTCTCCATACTCCAGTCTGAAACTCCTATTCTATTCTAAGACAGTTCCATACGCAGAGAGCATACTTCCGTAATTGTACGGCACTGAACGGCCATCATCCCAGTAGACCGCAATTATTCCGGCGTACGTGGCTCGGTCGGCAAGAAGGCTAACCATTCTTCCCGCCTTGAATAAATTTAATGCGATACATTTGCAAGACCAACGGGAACAGAAAAAATAAAGACTGTAAATGTATAAACATACATGCGTTCTCACTCAGAAGAAACTTTAGATCTATTTTACGTTTTCAAAGAATTATTTTCCAGTTTTCTATTTTCCGAAACATGTGGTGCTGACGATGCAATAAACAACTGAATATCAAGCATGGCTGTCAGAAAAGGCATTTGTTTAGTATGTGCCAAAGCATTTAATGGAAAAAAGAATTTTACGAAATGTTGCAGGTGTTATGCCTTCCATTACCATCTGCATTAATTGCAATTCAAGACAGGGTGGGT